AATGAAACAATGTAACTATGATCCCAATAATTTTTTATAGACTGATAGAAAATGTTTATTGGTTTTCTTGTTTCTAAGTTGCTATAAGTTTCCAAAGATGCAATTTAGAAAAAAAAACTTCCTTTCCTTCCTTCAGTAATGTTTTTATATATAATAAATAATTCTGAAAGTGAAATTATGACATATCTTGTGGAAAGTTATTGGCCAATTTCTTTGTTATATGTGGGGGTTAACATTTTGACAATTTAGTTTCACTATTATCAAATGAATTATTGAATTCATTAAAATGCAGCATTCTAACACATCATTTCTGTGTAAATGTTAGAGCCTGGGAAAGGTATGAGACAGTATTAATGAAGGAAAGGGGGACTGAATTTGGAGAAGAAATTATAGTCCTGAAATGGAAGAAAGCACAAAAAACACTCAAAATAATCATGCGTTGATTTTCAGCTGGATCAGACAGAAATTTAGACAAGATTCCAAAATTCCATTATTCTATCAAACTACAATAAGGGAATAAGGTATTCTTGTCTCTGTATAGTTTCTTATACTAGAAACTCAAAAGGCTAGTACTGGTTTATGAAGAAATTATTTCTTTACCTATCAAAGATATGCATTTACTCTTCCAGTAGTTATTCTTACTTTGGAACTACCTTATCAAAATATATATTTGAAATATCAAGGCAATATTGCTAGTGTTGTCTATTGCATAGTACATTAGTGATTTTAATGGAGCAAGTCTAATACAGATGTACTAGTTCTAAGTTTCTTTACATTTTTAAAAGTTCATTTAAATATCTTATAATAAATATTATTAGAAATAGTTACTTTTTGATAGTGATTAAAATGTGGTCCTAATAGGAAAAATAGTTCATTCTTATGCACAGAAGTATTTGGATGGTGCTGGGTCAGTCACACTCTCTGAAGCCAACCTACTTTATACAGCTGTTGGGGGAAAATGCTATGTATGCTACCTTGGATTTTAGAATGAAAATCAGGATATACATTTAATAAACAAACAAATATTTCTGTTTGTGGCATATTACTAGTTAAAATTCCCATGTATTTTGGAGAAAGATATTTTAAAATCAATGCTACTCAAAACTAACATATATTTAGATGACAATATTTTCTAAATATTTTAAACAGACTGATAAGATGCCATATCTTATGGGCTAGTTCCTTGGATTTTCTTTTTCAAATTACATATTGGATATGAAGGCATATATTTTAATTTTCTCAACTTAAAGCTTAAACAGGGCTTATATTCTGATTACTACTCTGTTTCCCCAAAAATAAGACGTCCATGGATAATAAGCACAATTGGGCTTTTGAGCGTATGTGCTAAAATAAGCCCTCCCCCCAAAATAAGCCTTCCCTGAAAATATTGCGACACAGCAGCAGCCATGAGGTGACCACTTGCCACCTCCTGCACCTCAAAAATAATAAGACCTCCCCGAAAATAAGGCCAAGTGCTTATTTCAGGGGTCAAAAGAAAATAAGACCCTGTCTTATTTTCAAGGAAACATGGTAATGCTTTG